CGCTTTTATTTTAGGCCCCTATATGTAATATTTTTTAAAAATCAGGCCCTTATATGTAATTATTTTTAATTTGGGCCTTTATCTGTAATTATTTTCACTTTTCAGGCCCTTATTTGTAAATTCCCCAAGATTTTACTATGATGTCGGTATAGCCAGAGTGACGTGTATCGGATTTTTCAAGGGCCGAATCCAGCATAAAGTTACAAAATCAAAATTTTTGGCCCATTGCCTCTTTGTTGTGGGGTTTCCAATGACCAATGATAAATGTAAAAATTGAAGTTTCATTTTTTCTTGGCGGCTCCATTTATAACTCAAATAGTGATGGGCAATATTCCGTTAACAAATATTAATATATATATTTTTGCAAACAATTAATTGATTAATTAAAGAGTAAGGGTTATCTTTACATATGTATGTTACCTGGTAATTGTGTAATTAGGATTAAAGTTAGATTTGTCGTTATATTGAGTGAGTCTTAATTTCCAAGTTATTACTATTTATATATATATTTACATATAAAATAATATATATATAAATATATATAAAGTAAATATTTAATTTAATAATATAAGATTTTGGCTGCATGAGTCAGCTCACGACATCTAACCAATCAATCAGATTGCTTTAAGCGGAAAGACGTTATCGTTATACGTAGACATTAAAATTTAATACAGTAATATATAGTATAAAAGGTAACTTTGAATTGAAAATTTTTTTAGAAATATATTAATAATTGATGCACAATGGTTTCAGAAAAATAGGGTTGGATAGTGGCTAATCTTTATAAATAGCGTATCTCCGAAAAAAAAAACCTAAAAACTAAATTAATTAACAATGCTATCGTTCGGATTATCTGACATACCCACTCTCTTAATAGTTTTTATAATTAGTTATGTAGCTCAATTTTATTATCGTTATTTCACTCGTATAAATCCTTTACCAGGTCCTATCCCACTTCCAATTATTGGTAATACTCATCAAAAAATTGGATATAGTTTAGGTGATTGGTACAAATTATTGCATAAAAAATATGGTGACATGTTTGAAATAAATTATGCAGGTCAACGTTTAATCGTATTATGTAGACCAGATTTAATTGAAAATATGAATACAACTTCAACAAAAACTAAATATCCTATTAGATTTAACAATACTGAAGGACTTGTTGAATACGGAATTAGTGCTGTAGGAATAGGTCATAATAATGATCCTAAATCTTGGAAATTTAATCGTCAATTTATTACTCAGGCTATGTTATCTCCAAGTTTTGAACATCAAGCTATAGAATGGACAAATGAATTATGGAAAGAAATGGAATCTTATTGGATGAAAATTGGTGAAAATAAAGAAATAGATCTTGGAAAATGGATGCATAGATTTACAAATGAAATTATTTTTAAAATTGCGACTGGTGTACAAAATAATGCTGTTGCTGCTTATTATTATACCGTTGTTGCTCCTGAAAGTATTAAATCTTTAAGTGAAAATGATAAAGAAAAAATGAAATCTTCTGAAGATCTTGTTGCAACAATTCAAACTTATATGGGTGGCGTTGGTTATTTTTTTGTTTTTAATAAGTTTATACGTAATAATTTTCCATTTCTTCGCGAAAAAGTAAAGAGTTTATTAAAAAATAAAGAAAAACTCTTTGATAAAATAAGGAAAATTATTAAAGAAAGAAGAATTGAAATTGAGAATACTCCATTGGATCAACCTCTTCGTCATGATATGTTAACGTCTCACTTAACCGCAAATACTCCACGTGACATAAATATTATTAAACATACTGATGATGCCGATATGTTGAGACCAATGAACGATAAAGAAATTTTTGGAAATACATTTGAGGCGTTTATCGCAGGAACTGACACTGTAAGTAAAAAAATTTAATCTTTTTTTAACAAAAAAAAAAAACATACTGTATATAAATAAATTCATTTCTTTTTAAATTATAGTCGGGGAGTATGCTTTGCTTTATCATATATTATCTCGAACATCATCCTGAAGTAAAAAAACGATTACGGAAAGAATTCGATGAAGTTTTTGGAAATGACTTAACAAGGCCTATAACATATAAAGATCTTGAAGAATTACAATATTGCGAAGCAGTTGTCAAAGAAGTAAATCGTCTTAATCCTGTAGCTTTTATGATCGGTCGCGTAAGTGCTAAAAGTGATAATGTTGGAGGATACGAATGGCCAAAAGGTTCTGTATTTCAAATGTATTTTGCCTCAATAATGAAAAGTAAAAATTATTGGACCGATCCTGAAAAATTCGATCCTGAAAGATTTTATAAAGTTGATGAAAGTGATAAATATTTACTTGAAAAGAAAAAAATTAAAAATACTTATTCTATGTTTGGAGGTGGAATTAGATTGTGCCCTGGAAGAAAATTGGCAATGATAGAATTAAAATGTTTAATAACTTTAATTTACAGAAATTTTGATATTGATTTGTTGGATATTAACAAACCACTTAAATATGAATCCGGTTTTATTAACGCTTGTCGTGAATTAGTAGTTAAGATTAAACCAAGGAAATTTTAAATACATATATATATATACTTATTTATATTTATTTTTTTACTGTATCTACTTGTTTCTTTATCATAACTATTATTATTTTCATAGACTCAATTAATTAACTTATTGTTATAAAATAAATACTTGTATTAAAAATAATATTGATACCTATAAGATTTAAACTAGCTTTTCCTGTGGAATTTTTTTCGTTCGTTATATTGTTTTGATATTGATCCAGCTTGTCTACCAATTCTTTAGCAGATGGCCTGTATTCAAGTCTATCATCTAAATACCTATTCATTAAATCTAAAGCAATTGAAAAACTTTACATTTTTCAGGACTCCAACCAAAAATTATTGCTAATGCTTGGCCAGTATCGATAGTCATTGACTTAACGTGTTCGGATTACAGTACTTATTTACGCCGATGATACAAACCAAAGAAATCATATGTACGCACGTACGAACGTACAAAATCATATTGACCAAATGTACGTACTACATTCATCATTTCAAATGAAATTAATTCTTTTCATCCAGTATATAATTTTGATATAAAAAAATGTCAGATACAAAGAACAATGCTTTTAATCAACAGAAATTTATCGATTGTCAAAAATTAGCTGATATAAATGATCCAGATGGAATATTCTGGCTTGGTTATTATTACGAATATGGAATTGGTATTGAAAAGGATGAGAATAAGGCATTTATTCATTATCAAAAATCTGCAGAGATGAATAATAATAACGGAATGTATCAAGTTGGATATTGTTATTATTTAGGAATTGGGGTTGAAATAGATAAAGCGTTTATGCATTATCTAAAATCTGCCGAGGCCGGTAATACTATGGGAATTCGGAAAACTGCCATTTGCTACTATTACGGAATTGGTGTGGAAAAAAGAGTGAAGACAAATATTTTAATTAGATTGAAAAGTATTTAAAAAATTTCGTTAATACATTTGAATTTTACAAGTTTAAATTCTTAAAAACTATTAAATACTTTAGGGAGTAAGAATGACCAATTTATGAATTATTAAAATCATTTTTTTGCCATGGTAATTTCTATTTAATAATACACTCAAAACCGGGTTATACACATTAACTTAGCTCGTACGTATAAAGAACATCTATTAATCTAAGTATTTAAATATGCCATTCAAGTTCATGAATATTTAATTTATTCGCATTAATTTAGTCTGTGAGTATACTAAGAATATTCATTTAATCCAAACATTTAAAATAAGCCATTTGAGTTCATGAAGATTTACTACTTAATTTCATTTTATTTTGTTAACTTAGGAGGTGCGTATAAAGACCATTTATTATTATAAGCATTTAAAATAAGCTATTCAGGTTCATGAGTATTTACTCTATTTAATTTTAATTTATTCGCATTAATTTAGTATGAGAGTATAAAGAACATTTATTGTCGCAGATCATAATGAAATCGGATTAAAATGAAACTGGGGACCTTTCTTGCTCATCTTTAAAGCTTATA